TAATAATCAATCTCAGTCGACTGTTCGGTTTTATAGTTGTTTCAAACCAACTGTTTGGTCTTTAGTAATTATATATAGCTTGATGTTTCGTAGTCTTTTAAAAAAAATATCATGGTTTTTTATCCCTATAAGGGAATGAAAATCCGAACCACAAATTATAATATACTATATATGTATGTTGTTATTCTTCACTTAATTTTCGTGGTTTTTCATTGATGGAATTAAAATTACTCGTTTTTTTGAACCATCTGATATTAGAATTCGATATTAATTATTCATATTTTAGAATTGCGACGTTTCACGCTATTTTCTTTGTGAAACTGCGTTGTGTTCAAAGTCATTATTAAATATTTTAGCAGAGGTAAATTATTTGTGTTTGGTTTGATGACTTAAACATGATCTCTTTACAGCCGGTTGATATGGGCATAATGACGCTGTGTGTATTAATTAATAATAATACTATACTTTAGTGTAAAGGTTCAGTGTACGACGGTAATAATAATAATACTATACGTATTTACTTCTTACTATAATACTTAGATTTTTTTATTTATAAATGCTTTGATTTACTAGATAACGTGTATCAATGATTACATAACTTCCATGGATCATCCACATACTCTTTCTCATAATTTTATATATTTATATACGTCACAAAGAATAAATTGCAGTTAAGAATATTAAAGTCTCTTATTGAAATCGCCTTTGTAATTTATTTACTACTTGTATTACATTTTGCGTTCATAAAAATTAAATTTGAAAATTTTTTGAACTTTAACTGTCAAAACGTTATGAATTTTCACGATTTCTATCAAGTCTTAAAAACATTTAAGGTTTATAAAAAATCATGCCTTAATATTTTTGGTCTTTTTTTTATTTATATAAGCGAAATATTCGAGGAACTTTATATTAAATTTTCAAGATTTTTTCAAACTTAAATTATTTTATTGACAATTTACAAAAATTTTAATAAAACATGGATAGTTATATAAAGCTTAAAAATAAAAATTATATCATCTTTAGAACACAAGAAAATTAGTTGTTGGTGCAAATTTCAAGTTTTAACAAAAATTATTTTTGAGTTACGTTAAAATCTTTTAGATTTTATCAAAAACAGTTGTCCCGTAAATACCAGTAAGTAGTAGTCAATTTTCATAGGCTTTTCTTAAGTATTTGTAAAACTGAGAAATTAAAAAAAACAACTTCCTCAATGTACCTACAGCTCAAGTTTTTTTTTAAGAAACTATTCCACTAATTAATAATCGAAACTTCCTGTCAAAATAATGGTTTGAATTGACAAAAATATGAAAATGTGCGTTTTTCTCAAAATCTAAAACTTTCGTCAATAAAGCCAATGAAAGTATAATACATCTAGAGATAAACTCTATACATTTTCTTTAAAATAAATCTATAATCCATAATCAATAGAAAATGTGTACAGCAATTTATGAAAAAAAATAATAAGTACAAATTATACATGTGAACATTATACGCGTTAGTAGGATCCACCTAAGGTGACATGCAGCATGAGAAACAAGAATGTAGGCTGATGATTACCTTCATTTGTTTTATTTTATTATTATTTGTTTTTTTTTTTTTTTTTTTTTTTTTTTAATCTATGAGTTGAAGATGTCTGTTATTTTGACGATTGACAATTTTACGATTCGTTTTCATAAGATATTTTCAGTGTGATTGTAATCTATTGTGTAATCTGGTACAAAATATTTTAGAAATTTGGTTTAAGGTTTGCACTATTTTAATCTTTTGTGTGCGTTGATTTTTTTAATGTATCAAAATACTAAAGAATTTAAACGGAGATAGAGAAGCATACATTTTATATTATTTGAATATAAGATATCGCAAAATCTCTGTTGGATGTCACGTTTGCTGAAAAATATTTTAGAATTACTTTCATAATAAATAAAACAAATTGACTCACATAAAAAAAGCAGAAAATTAGTGTTAAAATATATTTTACGAAAAGTATTTAAATATCAATACATAACTAAACACATATCGATTATGTATTGCCATATGACAGCTCTAAAGATTGGGATTGAAGTTTAGGCAAGTTTTTTGAGTATAAATCATTTTGGGAAAATTACGAGAGGGTTCGTGAAAATAGAACATAACATTTTTTTTTTTTTTTTATTCAAGATTGTAAGTTTAACTATACTTATGTAGCTATTTGTTTCCGTATTGTGGAGTATAATTTGTACGATTTATTCACATAGCTCGTAACTCGAAACATTTAACAGTAGAATAAATTATGTAATGTAGTATGAATAAAAAATATATAGCTATATAGTTATCCTTTTTGCGCTAAGTTTTTGAATACCTTTGCTGGTTTACAAGTGCGAAATCATAATAAACACATTACGTTATTTGACAGTGTTGACAAGAATAGGTATAATTATTTTATTACAACATTTTAAAAATGTTGTTAAGTTGTGTTTAATGTTAGATTTTATAATTAATTTTGTTATTATTTATATTAGATCAAAATAAAATGCAGTTTTTTCCAATTTACAGATATTTTTTGTTGATCATGTAACATGGAGACTATTTTGATACTGAATCAGTTTCGGAGAGAATATGTGCTCAATGATTATATTACAAAGCTTATTTTTATTTATTTATTTTTTTATATTATAATACAAAATATACATATTATACAGAATTTGACTAAGACATTATTACGAGTATTCAGTCAGCCCACAGCCATAAATTTATTTGGGATACTGAACAAAACACGATTGTGAATTTTAAATAATTTAGACGATGTAGTTGTATAATATAGTATTATAACCTATAATGTAGATATGAAGATAATTCTCAACTTTTTGAGGCACTCATATATACACCCATAGACGAATTTTGGGTGGCTGGGAGAACTTGGGTTCCAGGTGGTAAATTTTGGAGAGAATTTTGATATAATACAGTACCTAGGTGATTTGAGTGACAAAAAAGTAATGATAGTTATAAAATTATTATTGTGCTTTTAATTTATCACGAAACATGAATTGATAATACCAGGATTCAAGACACAGAAAAATATATTGTAGTTTAGTAGTTTGAGAATTGAGACACATAGAATAGATGAAACCAGAATGGAAATTGACAAGATATTACATGGGCTCTTATAGCTAAAAATATATCGTTGACATGTTTAAACGGTCGTGCCGGTAATAATAATCTTAGTTCGTAACGTTTATCGGTTTGTGTACTCGTTATCTATTACCTATATTCGTAATCACAAACATTATTATATATGGAATTGTCTTGTGTTAATTCAAATATTCTCATACATATAGGGAATTGTACACGTTAAGGGAGGTTATTTTATACGTCGTCACTTTACCTATTATATTGAGGTTTTTTGTATAAATAATAATAAATATACCTACTATAATTACGTAATATATGATTCAATAAATGTATTCTTTATGTATAACTAGTGTATCTTTCTGATTATTAGTACAGCAAAGAATGTATTGGTTTCAGTATTATATGTGTTATTTTAAAAACAAGCCTATTGCTAAAGAAATTTAGGTTGAGAAAGGGCTTTTTTTTCTTATCTGGAGTGCAAAATTTCAAAATACGTCTTTGCACACACCATACATTTTTTATAAGTCAACTTTACATCTCTTGTGATTTATTTGTCTTCGTTTGGAAAATATTGTTATCGTTGAAGTGGGTGTATCGATACACAGTAATTCAATAACTTACAGAGCTGATAACCGCTTACATATTTATTAGTTAATTTCATGAAATTATTGACCTTCTGCAGGTAAATTAAGTCGAGTTAACGTATTGAATATAGATTAAGAACTTATAATATATTTTGTGTATTTATGTTTTACAAGTATTTACAAATAAAACACAATAAATTGTACTAAATTTACTCGTATGTTAAAAATCAATTTTGATTAAGAACTTCATTGTTGTAGTGGTAAGCTAAGATTTTTCAAACTTTTGACATTTAACTGTTCACTTTAGCTTACATATTTATTGATATAGTAATAAATGGGCTAGAGAATTAGTAACAACTAATATGATGTAAGTAATAATTACAAGAGTGATATTAATGATAACAAAATATATCATTTCGAATAATAAAATATTTATAATTTAGAAAATAATATTAATGATAGATGGTTATTATACATTTTATTATAACTTTTATACACATTGCGATCAACAAAGACAAAATGATCTACATTAAATAAATAGACGATGCAGCTTATTTGTAAAATTATTGAATAAGTAAAAAATCTGGTAAATTATTGAACTGAATTTAAAAAGTTTCTATGTTATGGTTACTGAATTCCACGCGCATAAAAAGTACTATGTAATCATGATTAAATAGTATGACTTATGGATGATAAAAAATGTAAATGAAGGTACATAAAGTTAATTAAATATAATGATAATCTCAATATTACATTTAAAATATCATTTCTGCGAAACTCATAAGCGAGAACACACAAAAAAGGGGGGGGGGAAAGCATGTGACCATGTTTTGAATAGAAAAATAATGCTAAATTTAGCAGGACTCGGGGAAATATTTAAAAAAAAACGTAGAAGGAATATCTGTGATCGATGGCGGTTCGCTGCGTACTCCCTCGGTGGTGGCTTTTTAAACCAGATGCAAGTCACAAGTATCAAGTGACAAGTGTCAGAACAGGGCTGTCGGATCGATTGGCATCCAGTCGAGCACTAATCGGCAGGAGAGAAGTACGACTAAGTGAACCAACAAAAAAATGAATTTTTCAAAACTTGTTACGTACCTCCAAACGATAAATGGTTCACAGCCCAAAGATATTTATTTTTTTCTATTTTCTGTTAGAAAAGACACTTTTTTCTGAAGTCAAACTTCAACCTCTACTTTGATCGTTGACGTAAATGAAAACTTGTGGCACGCAAAAAAACGTAAAACAGACGCGTGGGGATGGAAAAAAAAAAGTATAAGAAAATAAAGAATTCGGATCGGCACTTACTTCGAACGGCACGGCGAAAAGGGCGATGAGTATATCGGCGAACGCCAAGTTGGCCAGATAATGATTGGTGACGGACCGCATCCGTTTGCTGGTGGTGATGGCCCAAATGACTAGCCCGTTGCCGGCCACGGCGATAACCGATATTGACCCATAGAGCACGGACAGGACGACCACCAGTATGGTGGGCACTTCGTACAGGTCGTACTCCAGCAGGTCGTGCGGCAGCGTGTCGTTGCCGGTCACGTTGGTAGTCGTCTGGTTGTCTATGAAGTTTACCGCGACCGCGGTCGCAACTGCGGCTGCAGTGGTAGCCATTGCACTACGCGGTAGCGACGGCGGTGGGGTCCGTTGAAACGTGGCAACATCGGGCGGCAAACCGGTTTGGTCGCCCGCTATTGGTCGCGGGCTTTGCGGCGTTGCCGTCCCGTCATCCCTGCGTGTCCCAGGCACCGGTCCAGAGACGCTGCGCCTTAACAAACCTTAATCGCGGTACAACGGCAATACGTGTTCAGCGAGATCGGATGGATATGGAGAATGTACGACGAACTCTATCGTGGTTACGGAAACGTTTTTATTTCTTTTATCTCAAGATTTACCGTGATTTTTCTCGCGACGGACGACAATGGACAAAATGAACGATCCGGCTACTGTGTCGGTTTGATGTAAAATATTGTTATGATTCGCACTCACAAACCGTATTCTGTTCACATCGACGAAGAAAGAGAGACAGAGAGATAAAAAAAAACCGTTATCTTTTAGATACTTGACAATGCGGTGACGGCGACTTAATGGTAATAAATATATTAGGCGTTCGGCGACTGGTTGTATTCGATACCTATAACCTATTGACGGATAAAGATAAAAGATAAAACTTTAAAATTGTGGCAAAAGTTAGAATAAAAACATTTATCTAAATCATGTTTATTATGATTACTATTTTTATCGTTCCATTGTAAAAAAAATGTGGTCTTATTTATTCCAGTTGGATGGGATCCTCTTCATTGAAATATAATATATATAATATAAATATAATTCGATTTTGTGGATTAAATTAATACCCAAATGTCTGTAAATTTTTGTATTTAAGTACTTAAAACAGTTGCTCCAGCAAAATAATATTTGATGTATACGTAGTTTGGATTTTTGTGTCTTAAATTTTGCAACTATTAATATAATTAAATTGATCAGACTTTCGTATATAAATTATTGATCTTGAAATTGCCAAAAAAATATTCCGAATATACCAAACGGTATTTGGTCGAAAAATAATTTTGTGTACTAATGTATAATTATTATAATGTTACGAAATGGTTTCCGTGGTATTTTAATTTAACAATTTTCAAGTATAATCAAACATTTATTTATTTAATCTTCGAATACCTTATATTAATTAATATTTACATTGTTAAATTATATTTTTTTTTAACACTTGTATCCAATTATATATCAAAATAAATATAATTTTGTTTTAATTTTATTGGAAATATTTAAAAGACAGTAACTATTATTTCAACATCCCCCTGTAGAGGGAGATCAGAATACTTCCACGGTTCCTCAGCCGGTCGTAAGAGTTGACTAAATGAGGTTGCGTCAGGTTGACAGCCGGTGTAAACATTTTGTCGAAGAGTATGAGGAGTCCGAAACAAAACATAAGTGGTTTATCCCATATCGGATGTGCACGGGGACAACAAGTGAGAAGAAGTATCATAGTTAGAGGTGGAGGAGGCCTAGATGATACCAGCCGGACAGCCAGTGTAGTAGCTGGTTCACCAGTTATGTGTTTAGGTCTACCCAACACGGGTAATTGCAACGGTGTAGGGTCATCACCATTGCGTTCCGGGTTAAATCGGCGTCTAGGTGTGAGAGATAGCTATTAAGTGAAAACAGAAAAGTGGAATTTTGGTACGTTAACAGGCATAAGTAATGAATTAGCGGAAGTATTGAAGAAAAGGAAAGTAAACATTTGTTGTGTTCAGGAAACTAAGTAGAAAGAAAAGAAAATAAAATAAATAGGAGAGGACAATAAAATAATATATTCGAGTAGGAATATTACTAGGAATTGGGTTAGAATAATATTGGACGAGGAGATGAAACGACGTAAGGAGAAAGAGTGATAGAATTATTACGGTAAAATTGGTATTTGAGGAAAAAGTCTTAAACGTAATAAGTGCATATGCGCCACAAGTAGGATGTGAAGAAAAGGAAAAGGAAAAGTTTTGACGGGAGATGAATGAGATGATGCAAGGAATACCAGGAAAATAAGTTAATGTGATTAATGGTGATGGATGTACATAAATGGACATATGGGTAGTAAGAGGTAGATTATGAAACAGTTCGTGGATGATATGGATTTGGCGAGAGGAATGAGGATGGAGAAATAGTTTTGGATTTTTCATCTCGTTCGAGCTTGTAATAATCAATACATATTTTAAAGAAAGAGAAGAGTATTATAAAACATATAAGAGTGGAAGAAATTGGTTGCAGATTGATTATCTTATGTGGAAGAGAGTGATTATAAATACGCCACCGAATGATGATAACCATTATCTTCGGATATTCTTTAAATATCAATAAGAAGTTCGAATAAACATTAGCTAGCAATAATAAACAAATTTAATCAATTATTTAAAAACTTCACATAAGCCAATTTTTTCGTCCCCACGAAATGTATTCTAAATCTAAATAAGTTACCCTTTTCTTAGTAGAATTTCCTCTAGAGGTTAACAGAAATAATTCGAGTATATAGTATGGATTTTCTCAAATTTCCTTCCGTATCATAATGATATTATATGATCAATTGATAAGCTTCTTAAAAATGTTTACACTCAAAAAAGTGCATTATTTTATAAATGTTTGTTGTATAAAAATAAGTGTACATAAATACGGCAGCATAAATTTAATCATTTAATATTATTTATTTGTTTAGAACAGTGATTCCCAACCTTTTTCCTTTGGCAGGACATTTTGGCAAACAATTATCTTCAAGCGGGCCACAAAGTATAAAAGTTCAAAAATAATCTTATATATTGGACTGGTTTTCTTATATTTTGTTGTCTATTGAAAAGATTATGAATTGAGGTATACATAATTGTATTTTTTGGAATAATTATTTAAAAGAATTCATAAATTTAAATAAAAATAATATATGAAAATAAATAATTTAAAATTTTATTTTTATTTTAGAAAATTCGTAATGGGCCGTGGGTTGGGCACCATTGGTTTAGAAAATTTAAGTAAATAAACGAGATTTCTTAAATTATGAAATCAACGTATTAAATGTTCCAAATCAAAAGAGTGTTTTGTTGACTTTGAAAAATCTATATATTTAATCTATGAAAGGTAACTCGAGTATCAAAATGTCAACTATTTGGTGAAGGAATCAATTTGAGTAAGTTTTAAAAATAAAATCATGGGAGGAAATTCGAGGATTAGACCGAAGGCGATTCGTTAGTCCATAGTTTATATTATATAATAATGGTTACAATATATATATATATATATGTAAGAGATATCATTGTTGTATGAGCCATGAGTGAAGATAGTTTAGTGGACAATTCGGTAAATTGGTACGTAACAAATAACACTGTTTTCTGGTACACGCGTGCACGTGCAAGACAGACATGGTTAAAAATGATTTTTTTATTATATTTTTCAATGATTTTGAACAGTTGTAACTTATTCATACTGATTAGGTATATTAAGTGTTTGAAATATTATTTTATTGTAGATGAAGTATTTAGATTCCATTAATATTGTTGTTCCATATAAAAACTATAAATTCATGGATTTTTTTTTCTTCTAAACAATTTAAAAATAAATTCCGTTTTAACTGTAGAGCTTTTCAATCTTCAAATGCTGATAATAGAGGCGAAAAAATGTATTTGACTTTTACAATATTTCTGGCTTCTTTTTTTATGACTCATCCTCCGTGTTAATTTTCGTTTATTTATTATTAATGGTCATCTTTAAAGTGAACAATGTGTTATTATATATTTAATCCTATTCAAATCTAAGTTACATTTTTTTTTTTTTTTTTGAAGGCAATGATTGATATTACAATTCGAAGAACATTTGTTGTTTTGTTTTAATAATAATGATATTTTATCTAAGTATAAAGTAACAGTATAGCGAAAAAGCCAAAATATAAGTATAGAAACCACTTAAAGGAATCAATCCTTTTTTTGAAATCAACTTAATTATCTAAAATCACTATATCAAATTCCTTTTAAATAAATAAAACAAAAAAACTAAAAAAATAAGGTACCTCATCTATGTATTAAGATTTCGTTGAAAATAAATAAATCAAAATTAAAAAAATTAAATAAAAAAGTAATATTGAATGCAATACTTTTCAAAAGAATAGAACACATACTTTCAATCAAGTTCGAACTCATTTATTATACTATTCACTCATTATTTATGATGAATATTGATAATTTTAAAACCTCCAATGTGTGAACTTCCCGTATGTACATACTTCAGTAAATTAATTGGAATATACGAACACCTTTTGATAACAATCAAAAACGAAAACTCATAAATAATAACAGTAGCTTAAAATTACAAATAATTTTTTCCACCTAATATTTTCTAGTAATATTACGACTCATACAAATATTTTCATCAAAGAGTCAAGTTATCATCATTATTTATGTCATAAAATAAAGTAAAACAAAATAAACTGTGATGTAATTATTTTATTTTTATTTTTTGAATAATACTTTGAATCATTACGTTATAAAATATTAGTTAAATAAAGTATTCTATAGATAACATTATGTAATTGGTATGACGTTTAATAAGACTTTACTTTATTACATTTTAAGATCTACATCAAATATAACACAATTAACTATAAGTCATTTAAACAATTATTATTTATTCAATTTACTTCGGGCTTTTATTTTAAAATATTTGTTCGTGCAGTAGTTATGGTAATCAAATCTCACACTGTGCACTTGAAATTATTTCGAAAACTTGTGTATACAGTGAACATGTTTTATAAATGACATACTTTGAAAGGGGGATTTTTAATTTTTATTCGCAATCTTACAACTTTTAATTAAAATTGAATGTTAAAAGTAATAAAACCACTGTTTGACTGTTAAGTAAAATGCTTAGGTTTGTTAGATTTAAATTGTTTTAGATAATGGTTTTACGCCTGCGTACATTTGAGTGTCCTATAAATTAATCAAGCCAATTTCACATTTTATAATGGAATCGTAGAAGTATTATAAGTAGCAAGTGTATTTACAACTAATTCGATTTCTGAATTCGTTTTGTTATTGCCACTACGGATTAAATAATAAAAATATACACATGTACCTATACTTTTAAATGTTGAAAGCTACCGTTGAGAATATAAAATTTAGAATATCTATATTATGCTGCAATAATACGCTTTACGTTTAATAAATCGGTTTAATAAATCACTTTCAAGTTATTAAAACGTGTATGCGTAAATTGATTAAACATGTAATGGTATTTAAATTGCCAATATACAAAAATATAAGTTCATAAATATACGTTAGGTTTGTTAGGCTCTATATTTATTCATTAGGCCCTATATTATATATCAGCAATGGACAATTGGCAGCCCGCGTACTTTTTTTTTCTGGCCCGTGATACATTTTCTAATCACTCCATTACATTTTAGTATTTACCAGTATTTAACTTTATCACGTTGATCGTAAAATGTAGGTATTATATTTTCATTGATCTCCAGCTAAATCATTAAATGTCTAAGTATAATATATATCTATATCGGTAGGTATAGCTAACATAGCTATTAGCTATAGATATTGGGCACTTATTTTATTGTAATGGTTCAGTTGTAAAATTATATTATTTAAAATCAATTCTAATGATTGATTTCAATGACCTTTTTTTCATTTTTCATTTTTTTACTATGGTCCGTCAGATTTTAAAATCCTAAAAATTGGCCCCGTTGTTGCTTTGAGTTTCTGTCAAATATAAAAAAAAAAATTAATTTCAAATTGTTCATATTACCCCTCCTAAAAATGTCCACAACTAATAATAACTGTACAGAAAAAGTTTGAGAAAAATCTATTAATTTCAACATGTGCTACAAAAGATCTGAATTTTTATATAATCAATTATAACTCCGGTAAAAAAAATGTTACAAAAAATTCTTTGAAATATAAATTATAGAAAACACAATATAACACAATTTGTTTCCCATACCATGTATTATACATTTTAAAATTTTTCAAATATTTGTATTAAAACGGCAGTAAAAATAAATTCATAATCATTATCGGTCGATTGCTCAAATAAATATGTGGCTTTTTACCTAGTACAGACACCCGTATTTTGCGATTTTTACGTGAAGATTATTTCCATAACTCATTGTGACATTCATAACTCGAACAACATAAGTTAGTATTATCCATATCGTTGTAGATTATTACATTTTGGACTTATGTGATATCGGGTTTATTAAGTCATTATAGATTATCAATTATTAATTTGCGATTTATTGATTTATTTCTTAGTCGACTTAGAATAATCGTAGCCATACATAAATATTGATGTGTGATTTCTCAATTTGTTTTATTTTGTATGCAATAAATTTTATTTGATACAATGGTTAACTGGAATAGTTTCCATAAGTCAAAATATATATTTTTTAATTAGATACAGTTTAAATCAAATAGCAGTAAATTACCATCGAACAAGCGAGTTTTGTCAGTACTATTTTTTAATATAAAAGAAGTTAATTTACATTTGTATCAAAATGCTATGTCAGTACTAAAAGAAGCAGTTATTTTGATAACGATGAAATTGTGTTTTGATTAAGCAACTATTAGAGAGTGAAATCATGTATTAACTATTATATTTATAAAATTATATTTAAAAGTGTGTTCGATTTAAAATTTAAGATAACATTGGGCCTAGACGTAACCATTTTTAAAATTTTCCAACCCAAACAAATTAACAAATTCCAATTAACCCTAACAATTTCAATCCAGGCATACAAAACAGTATTGTAATAGATTCTGTAAATTATGTATGTGATGATATTATTAAATTATTTAAAGACTATTAGAAAAGCATCCAAGAGATTATTAACACGAGTTTGTAGAATGAACAGTAATTTATATAGATTGAATTCACACTCGGTAGATGAATTAAGCTATTTGAATAGCTTGAAAAAATATATATATTTATTTAGTGAATAGTTTTGATTAACACTCAAAGAAGAAAGTAACTGAAGAAATATTTGAGTTTCTATTGTACGATTAAACATAAAAGTATGGTATTTCAGTATGGTAAGTATTTCACTACCTTCAATCAAACACCTTTACAATACTTTTATAAAAAATCTCTTACTTTATACCTCTATAGATAAAGATCTAGCACAGAAAATAGTTCAAAAATGTTGTGTTCATTTTTGGTATTTATCAGCAGAATTATCCGAATTTGCTTTTATCGATGAAGCTGTACTACTGGAGACTAAAAAAAAAAAAAAAATTAATCATTCTCTAAATAACTATAAATTTTAGCAGATTTAATTTCAAATGCATAACGTTCAATTATCTCTAAAAATTGAAAACAAGTTATTAGAAAAAGAAATCGATGATTTTATATGTGTTAACAAATGTTTGAATGAAGACCTTATAAATTGGGCAGATAATAAAGATTATAATAAACCTCTTTGAATTTTAAAAAATATTCCATTTATAAATGGTGTTGCAGAAAGAGGAATTTAACTTATAGATGATTAAAGTAACAAAATAACCAAAGGTGAATCTCAAAAACAATACTTACTACAAGTTGTTTGAGTTTATCGCAAAAAATTATCCAGACCACAAAAAAAAAAATATAATTACACAATCATTAATTTAGTTTTATACTTTATATTTAAAATATATTGAAGATATAAGTAGTAAGTTATTATATTAATATTTATTGCTGTATTTTTCTGCTTAATTTTTTGTATTTTAAGGAAATATCTCAATTTTTTATGATTTTTTTTTTTTAATCCCCGGATTAAAATATTTGATAGAGTGAAATATTTGTAAACTAATTTGAACAAAACAAATAATTATAAATTTAATTGTCTATAATTTGTATTTAAACGAATTGTTCGTAATATTTTGTTTACTTGAAGAATATCAATAAAATTAATAGTATAGAAAATGTTCTAATTTTGTAGCTTCAAAGCTTTTGTGACACTAGTTTTTATTTTGTTAAAATGAAAGAATTTGCCTGAAACTTCTTTTATATGATTTTTTTTAGTTTTTGAACCTTTTTATAAATATATTATAAAATCAAAATGAAAAATTATGTCCATCCTAATATACATATATACTATTTGAATATTATAGACGTATTATTATTATTATTATTATTATTTTATTAATCATAAATTTCTAAATTAATATTTATTATAATTTAATCAGTGTGTTCACTAAAATTAGTTAACATTTTCTTTGATTATGGGTAAAACGTTAATCAACATATTTCCTAACCAATGACACTTAAAATTGAGGGTGTTTTCCTCAGACAATTTGTAAAATATCCACTGTCATGTATTTGTATACACCACAAAGAAATATAATATAAAATAATCCTTTAATTTAGATATTACATTTATTTAGAATATCGATAAAAATGAATGATTGTACTGTGAAATAATTTGTATAAAATTAAGATGTATAATTTATTATGCATTATTAATATTCTTATTTACTATTTACGATTAATATAGATTGTTCGTGGCATATAAAAATATTGAAATTAATGACAGCTTGTTTATTTTAGTATTTGTAAGCAAGTTAAAAACTTTGGAAAAATTCTTATATTTTTCTTGTGTACTTATCTAAAGTACGTACTAAAGTATAAATACAACATATAGTATGGACGAAAAATTTTAAATAATATTTTCATAATTACTTGCATTAATAATTATTAAAAATATCAGTATTTTCAATCCAAATAATAGAAAAAACTGTCTCAAATATAATAAATGATAAAAAACGTCTTGGAAAATAAAATATTAATTGAAAATTTCATACGCACAAAAAATATGAATTTACTTTTCAATATAAAATAAGTAGGTAATGAAAATTGTAATATACCGATTTTCTTTAATAATATAATACGTATTAAAATGTATGAATATTTTGATACTTATTTTCTTTTTTTTTGGTTTAATCAAATGCATTTTGTATTCGTTAGTCTTATAAAACTAACGTTATTCTTTTTGTTGAATAAGTTTGTCGACCAAATTTGGTAAAATAATTTCAAACAAAGTACACAAGTATGCATTCACAATCGCGTAATATATAATTGGTTTTAGAATGTGCCGTTCAAGAAAGCAAGTGATTAGCGATTATGCATTCAAGAAAACGTCGTAAATTTATTTATTTTTTTTTTTACTTTTTTTTTTTGTTGAGCATATGACATTAGTAACAACTGTACTTTATTACGATCATAATATGACAAAAGTAGATAGTTTTCGATCGTGATGTTTATGTAATGGTTTTTTTTTTTTTTTGTTATCTAAACGGTCGTTAAATAAAAAACCGATTGGAAATCAAACCACACATTCGTATTCCCCACGTCGTTAGTGAGCAAACGTACCGTGGAATTCGGTACGTGCGGCTTAAAAATAGAGCGATAGGTATAACTACTTGGACACGCATGAGCTTAATGTGTTGTCCATAAAAGCGAATGAGAACATATTATTAAAACATTAAAACCGTACGAAAACAATAATGCAACAATGTAAATATCGTTAACTACCGTAAAGAATACCGGTCAGAGGTGAAACATAAAATTAGCATAAAATTATTAATTCTTGTTCAGGAGTATGATTATTTTATGTACTTACTGAATTGTATTTTTTTTATATATATATACTTTTTTTACGTTTTATTTATTTTTTTTTTAATTGTTATATTTTATTCAACAGTCAATGTGGTGTTATTATGTGGTCGAACGGAAAGTTTGCAGATCTATATTATAACGTTTATCGTCGAAAGGAGCAGGATAACGAGCACGTTTCGCGAGAATTGCACACACGCGGTCCGATCGAGCGAGACACGGCCGTACCGAGGGTTCGTGCGAAGGGACCACACCGTACGGTTTTACGGTTACACTAAACGCACTAACAGCCGGCACAGGATGACGACGGCGACGACGACGCGGCCGCAGACTTGCCAGCTACACGATATTTACCGTGCCAGCGGTGGTCCCGGCGGGTCGACCGTTCGCGCGCGCGAAACCGTGTGGGCCGACGACGGTGGCACGAAACGATCGCCCGTGCTGATACGTACGAAAGCTGCGCAGGGATGAGCACGGGTAACGCGTTTTTCCGGTCTTCGGAAGCGAGACGGATGTTCACGGTCTATCGATAGCCTGGATCGTATTTTAACGCTTTGCACGGGATACGAAAAAGAAACACTCACACACACATACCTAACCGATCTTAAAAAATTGATCACGACTTCGTGTATAGACCTTGCGAATACGCCTCAGTCGCTGCAAACATCGCGTTCCGCCTCCGTTCCGAATCCCTGCGCACCCAACGAATGTAGGTACTCCGCGAACAGGTACTGCGAACGAGCATCACGTCGGAAAACCGTCCGCTCGCAGCGTTATCCAAAATCGTAGCACGGATAAATTACGCGCCCGATGATAGTGTTAAAAATTCCGAAAGGCCGTTTCGCGTTGCAGTGAATGGCTCATTGGCGTCTTGGTCATTGTTGCGTCGGTTATCACGATACTTCTGCTTTGAACCGTATGCGCGTAACGTGGTCAGTACAAGATCACATTTTACGGAACATCGATTGGTGGTACGGGGGATTATATAATATTTAATTATAATCAAATTATTAATCTACCGATGTATTGTATTTCTATCGTTAGTCGACTTTGATGGTCATAGACGTTCACGTGCTCGCATGGATCGTGACGGAAAACCAATAATCTTTTGGTGCGCTTCTGTTCCGGGCTACGATTACAGCCTGCATTAATTGATTGACGGTGCGAGCTAGGATGAATACATGGGTAGGAGGTGATATCGCCCCGGGCGGCAATTTTTTTCGGAATTAAAGGGCGACAGCATTAGTTTATAAACATGATCCATCATCCATTTTCATTCGTCAATCAAAAAATTTAAAGATTTGAAGACCACATAGCGACCACACTGTGATTTTTATTTTCATGATACAGTAAAACCTCGCTAAGACGGAACTTTGGTAAGACGCAAACCCCGGTATTACGGATTATTTTTTTTTAAATTACATATCATTTTATCCCGCCAAGACGGAAACTTCGTCAAGCCGAAAAATGACACGTTTTTTGTAATAAAAGTTGATAAAAATATTCGCTAAGACGGAAATATAACACGATTAATTGTTTGAAAAATGAATGTGTTCAAAACTGTTACGTAAAGCTGGATTCTTTATTGACTGATCGAACGTGAATGCCCTGACTGAAATTCAAGATATCTTTGATGAACTTGATTTTAATTTAAAAGAATTTCTTCATATTGATGGTCAACTTGAGGCGCAGCAAATCCATGGCTGAGAATGAATGTGAAAAGGACAAAGACAACAACGAAAACCAATATGAAGAACCAGAAAATCTGGTAAAAAATTACAAAACTGCTATCTGCTACCTCGAGGAACTACAAACATTTTCCCTTACAGTGTCCAATAGTGAGCTTTTGAATTTCACTTTGAGAGCCAAGGAGTGAGTGGAACGCGACGCCTTACGAAACAAAAAATCAATAACCGATTTTTTTTCAAAAAATATAATTATTATTAATGTATACTGGCTAAAAATAAATATGCCATAAAAAATAAAAATAAAATTAAATTAAAAATATAAATTGAACGTATTATGTATAAACTGGTTTAAAATAAACATGTAATCTTTAATTTAGTTCAATTTAATTTTTTTTAATTCTGTCAAAACAGAAAAATGTCATGGTCCCAAGCGATTCCGTTTTATCGAGGTTTTACTGTAATATTGTTCAAAGTTGACAGCGTAAAATCCATAGATAATAAATATTATCCTTCTTGAAAAATTGTATAAAATGCGTGTAGGGTTGGTAATAAAACTTTCACCTGGGACATCAACATTTTAAACACGTCTGTGGGTGTGCACTGAACTATCGTTGTACGGGTAAGGTTCACGTGAACATAATATTTTGATCGCGATGACACTGTATACACACGCAAACGCAATGATTTTTATGAAGCAATATTGATTTTAACAAAAGGTTATAATTTTTTTTTTTTTTTATTCTAAAATATATATATATATCTTACCTTATATATTTATGTAATGTCGATGGAATTTATATAAATATATATATTTCTAAAAATTTTATTCAACTTGCTGAATTATACTCAACGGTGTTACATACACGTATAATACTTACAAAATCATAGGACGTAGATAGTATGTGATACTCGACAGGCAGTAAGATATTAAAAACCAATTAATTTTAATTTTATAATATTCAAAAAAAAAGGAAAAAATAATTAAAAGCGTGCTTCAAAAACGACGTTCATAAACAGCAACACGTGATCACTCGCAAAATACTCTGCATGGGTTTATTTGTTTCGTGTAATTATGGTAACCGTGGAGAAATGGTTATCGATATATTGTTTTGAAAGGAACAATTTACTCTAACACAACCCGTGATCGATTCACAATTGTATTTTTTTGTTTTGTAAATTTTTGTTTTTGCGATATTTTTCGTATTAATATTGCTCCAGTTGAGATTACAATTCACAAGATGAACTCTCATTTTGGTGGATATTGGGTTCAGTACCCCACTCTAACCCAGGCACCGAGTACGGAGTATACGATGCCGTTGATCGGGTAAGTAGTAGTTAATTTGGTTTGATGAACCTATGTTTGCGATTGCAAATAACTCGCTTGGCGTTCTCTCGACTAACGTTCTAATAATTTTGTATTCTATTGTATCTTTTCACAGAAGTTCGTCGGATGCCTGGAGTTTGTACGACGTGCCCCGCTCACGGCCTCGTCCTTACGACGTGCCCCGCTCACGGCCTCGTTCGTACAATGCACCCTGCTGTCAACCTCGTCCGTACGACTGGCAGTGTTTGTTTAAATATCCTATGAAAGTGGACGAACAAGACGAGTCAGA